GTTCCCATAAGACTATCTGCTGATTTCTAAAAACAAAACAAAACAAAACAACCCTTGCAGGCAAGAAGGGTCTGGAAAGTATTCCAAGACATGAAAGGCAAGGACCTACATCCAAGATTACTCTATCCAGCAAAGCTATCATTTAGAATAGAAGGGCAGATAAAGTGCTTCCCAGATAAGGTCAAGTTAAAGGAGTTCATTATCACCCAGGCCTTATTATATGAAATGTTAAAGGGCCTTATCTAAGAAAAAGAAGATAAAAAATATGAACAGTAAAATGACAACAAACTCACAGTTATTAACAACTAAACCTAAAAAAAAACCACCAAAAAAAATAACTAAGCAAACAACTAGAACAGGAACACAGTCACAGAAATGGAGATCACATGGAGGGTTATCAGTGGGCAAGTGTGAGAGGAAGAGTGGGGGAAAAGGTACAGAGAATAAGTAGCATAGATGGTAGGTAGAAAATAGACAGGGGGAGGTTAATAATAGTATAGGAAATGTAGAAGCTAAAGAACTTATATGTACGACCCATGGACATGAACTAAAGGGGGGATGCAGGTGGGAGGGGGTGTGTAGGGCAGAGATGAATAAAGTGTGGGGGGTATGGGACAACGGTAATAGCATAATCAATATAATATACTTAAAAATAAAAAAAAATAGACAGGGGTGGTTAAGAATAGCATAGGAAATTCCCTGGCTGGTGTGGCTCAGTGCATTAAGTGCCAGCCTGTGAAATGAAAGGTTGCTGGTTCCATTCCCAGTATAAGGCACATGCCTGGGTTGCAGGCCAGTACTCCAGTGGGGAGTGTGTGAAAGGCAACCACACATTGATGTTTCTCCCCCTCTCTTCCTCCCTTCTAAGAAAATAATAAATAAAATCTTAAAAAAGAGAGAATACTATAGAAAATGGAGAAGCCAAACAGCTTACATGTATGACCCATGGACATGAAGGGGAATAAAGGGAGAAAAAATGGGACAACTGTAATAGAATAATCAATAAATACATTTTTAAAAAGAATTTATATACATAATTACAGACTATTAAAATATATGAATCCAAAGCTGGCATAACTAAAGGGAGATACAGTTCTATAATATAGTTGGAGACCTCAGTACCTCACTCACAATAATAAATAGGACTGAAGATAAGAAAACAGAGGAATTAACACAATAAACTAACCAGATCCAACAGACATATACAAGGTCTGTCTGGGAAAATTCCAGCCATTGTTAATATAAAAAGAATGGTTTGCATGACAACAGTGTAACCTAACAGCCAAGAAGAGTGGACGGAAATGTGCATGCATGAACAATGGCAACTTCACTGTACTAGTCAGTGGGGATGGTACATGCTGTTGAGTGAGCATGTGTACTGTGTGGCTGTCACATTAAAATGACTGAGTAGAGCAACGTATACGCATCAAATTTCATCTTAGGCTTGAACATTCTTCCAAGGAAACTATTTGGATGATTCAGAAGACCAGAGTTATGGGCAACTGATGATTGGCAGTTTCATCATGGCAACACACCTGCTCATGCGCCACAGCTTGTGCAGAGTGTTTTTGCAAAACATCAAACCACCCAGGTGACTCAGCCCCTCTATAGGCCAGGTTTGGTGCCCTGAGAGTTCTGGCTTTTCCCAAAACTAAAATCACCTTTGAAAGGGAAGAGATTTCAGACCATTGATGAGATTCAGGAAAATACAACGGAGCAGCTGATGATGATTGGAACTGTGTGAAGTCCCAAGGTGCCTACTTTGAAGGGGACTGAAGCATCACTGTCCTATGTACAATGTTTCTTGTATCTTCTATCTTTTTCAATAATTGTCTTTTTCATTAAAAAAATAAACAAATCTGAATCAGGAAGAATCAGAGAATCTGGACAGATAGATTACAACTATTGTAATAGAAGTAGTAATCAAAAAATTTCCAACAAACAAAGCTGGTTGGCTTCGCAGATGAATTTTACCAAACATTCAAAGAAGAACTAATAAGCACTGTTTGGTTACAACATTGTCCCAATATGCCAAGGTTGAGGATTCAATCCCTGCTCAGGGCACATAACAAGAATCCACCAATAAATGCACTGAATGTATAAATAAGTGAAGCAAAAATCTCTCTCTCTCTCTCTCTCTCTCTCTCTCTCTCTCTCTCAAATCAATCAAGAAATAAAAAACTTAAAAAGAACTAATAACTATCCTTATCAAACTATTCCAAAAAATTCAAGAGAAGGGAAGACTCCCAAACTTATTTTAGAAGGTCGGCATTATCCTAATTCCAAAACCAGATAAAAACACTACAAAAAAGAAAATTATAGGCCAATGACCCAGATGAATATAGGTGCAAAAATCCTCAACAAAATATAAACAAACCTGATCCAGCAATACATTAAAAATACAATACACAATAATAAGGTTTCCTTTTTCATGAGCGGTCCACATGAGATGCCCATGGGCTGAAAGTTAGGAGGCCAGGCTGCTAGTCCCACCCTGCTTCCTCGAGCCTTTCCCTTTCTGGGCTTCACTTTCTCCATCTGTACAGATGATGAGGCAGGACAGGTAGAGTGGAATCACAGCTTTCAAACTGTTTCAGTTTGATGCATTTCTTTTAAACAAAATCTAATGTAGCAGTTCAACATGTATGACAGATGAAAATAGGGTGGATCCAGCCCCACTTCCCTCCTCAGAGGTTCCCCCAAAATTCATGGGGTGTCTCCAATCCCCCTTTAAAGATCACTAGGTTAGGGAAGTGCTTTGCTGTGCATCAACATCCCCTGGAAGGCTTGTTAAAATGCAGATTGCTGAGCCCCACCCTGAATTTCTGATTGGGCACATATGAGATATGGCCCAGAATTTGCATTTCTAACTCCCAGGTGATGCTGGTACAAGGACCACATTTTGAGATACAAAGTGGGTTATGTTATACCTATGGACATTTCTATAATTCATGTCCAGTCACTCAATGTTCACATTAATCCACCTCAGATAGATTATCTAAGATATTGAAAGATGGGACAGCAGCTGGCATTGTACCTGACACATAGTAGGCACTCAATCAAAGCTGGTGAGATCTAATTATAAATGCCTTGCCTGTAAGTCTCTTTAGGTGTAACTAGCAACTGGTCACGGGACTGACAGAAGCATAAACCTTTCCTTTAATGAGTTTACAGTCTGCCATGGCCCTTCCACCCCACAGGAAATAACACCCCCACTAATTCCACCAATAAAGGTTATTCCATGTTAAGCATTAATCCTTTCCAGACATTCTTTTTTCCTGGTCATCTCCCTAGAAAGGGGGTGGCTGTTTGGTCCTTGACTGCTCAGCATTTCTCAGATGCTCTCCCCATGTGTAGGGAGCACAGCCTCTGTAAGTTCTCCCAGGGAAATGATCTTACCTGTACCACTCTTCCCAGCATCTCTTATGGTTTCTAGCCCAGTGGCTGGCACAGAGTGAGCACTCAATTATAAGTTTGAATAGAATAAAGAAAGCATGATAACCCCAATTAACTCAGCCCATGCAAGTCACCAACCTACCTATCCTGGCTCAGAAGTCCCAAACCCACCCTCTGGTCAAGACTGCTCACTTGGGGACTTTGGAAGGGCATATGGGAAGGGGGCTTTCCAGCCATTTTCACCTGGGATTGCCACCCTGGAGGTCTTGTGAACCGGTTTCAGGAATGTATGGAACCTCCCATTTGTTACATCCTCCTTTTCAGCCTTACCACTTTCTTAAATAAATTGGCGCTGACTTGGGTGACAGACTTGATCATTTCCCTTTGCTTCGTGACTGTGTTAAGTGACTGCCAAAGGCCTGTTCCTGAATAGTCAGCACATTCCTCAGAACTGAGTAGGAACCCATCTGCTCTGGGAGTGCTTCCTTTCCTTTATTGTGCTATTTTAGCTTCAACTTCCCATTTGGACAGGGGCATCTTCCAGCCAGTGGGGAAGGGGAGAGGGTGGAGAGGAATGCCACAGTCTTCCTCCATTTCCACTCACTTCCCTCACCTCTCTAGAGATATATCTACAATAATCAGATAATGTGCCAGATGCTGCTCTAAGCTCTCTATATGCGTTCATCTACTTCATCTTTAAAACACCCCTGTGAGGAAGGTGCAGATACTACCTACATGTTTCAGATGGCAAAATAGGTGCTGAGACGTGAAGTAACTTGCCCAAGGTCACACAGCCAGGAAGTAGGTCTGGAATTTGAAACCAGACTGTTGACTTAGACTGTAGGTTCCCTGGTATATGCTCTTAACGACTAGACTGCTACCTCTTGGCATTAAGGCCACCTCACAGCATTTAAGGTGTCATGTTATCATAATCCCCTATACATCTTCTACATATCCCCTTGTTATTCCAAGTGGACTTAATCTTCCTGATAACCATAACTGGAATAAGACAGTCCTGGGTTCAAATTATAACTTCGCAACTCAATAGCCATGTGAACTCTGTTTCTCTTTGTGCCTCGATTTCCTGATCTGTAAAGTGAGGATAATAATGGCAATGACCTCATAAGCTAGCTGTGAGCATTTATATTAAGCAGTGTAGATACCCCCATCACCACCACCACCTCTTCTTCAAGCCTGCCCCAGCATCCTGCAGGGGGAAATGGTGCTTCACACCCTTGTACTTAACATTCTAGCCCTCTGTGTCTGTCTTTCCTGTTCCAAATGAAAGGCAAGCCTCCATTTACAGATTCCCTAGGCTTTTCAAAACTTGGTGATTACAATTCCTCCCAGGAGATCAGAGAAACCCATTTCCCTAATATTCTAAGCAGGAATTCTATTGTCATTTGGTAACTTAAACATGGCCAAGGTGGCCCAGCCCATCTCCTTTCCTCCCCACCCTTAGTGTAGGCAGAGAAAAGACAGCTTCACTGAAATACAATTATACTTTGCCAGCATCCCATAGCCAAAGTCTCCCCGAGCAAAATTCACAGCAAAGAAAGACCCTCATTTCAAATAGTATTTATTTCGAACCTGAGAATTCCTTGCTACACCAGTGACTGTGGAAATGAGCCTCTCTTTGTCTTCTTTACAGAAAGTATTTAAGTACTGGGCCGGGAATATCCAGTATCTTTTTCCATCTTGTTAAATGTTTTTGTCCCATAATTCCATTCTCTTCTAGCTGTATAGTGTCTTGTGACTTAAGTTCAGTAGGGTAGAGCATAGCGTTACCTGTAAGCAGGCAGTTGAAATTAAAAAAGGAAGACATTTCAGTTAGTTCTTCATCCACAGACTGAGCCCTAACCCTGGCTACTTAATCTTGTTCATAGACTGAGTATACAAGTGCAGAATGAGGTAACTCAAACTTAGAGAGGTAAAGCATTTGGACTGCACCACACAAAACCAATCCTCTATCCCAGCCATATAGTGACCGTAAACTTCAACCCATGTTTTTAACCACACACACACACACACACACACACGCACACACACACGACTACAAGCATGTGGATGTGTCAGTGCAAAGGAATCTCTATTGCTAGATTTCTAACTCAAGGACAGGTGAGTTGACAACACATCTTTGTTGCTGAGGGAAAGCTCACTTCTTGGAGGGCTGGGGCTGTAAAAAAGAATTCTTTCCTAGAGAGATTGATGTGAATGGTGGAAGAAATCAATAAATTGCTATTAAACGCAGTCCAACCTCACTTAGTCAAACTAATACTAATTGGAAGTAGCCCTTCAAATTAGTGAACCATTTGTACGGAGGTTACTTGTAAAGAAATGAAGCTTTATTGCTTTGAATAATTCACGGTAACACCAAATAAGTTAACAAGTCATAGCTTAATGGAGGTCTTAGGAAACCTGACTTAAGGAAATGAAAAGAACCCCCAACATCAACCGTTTGTATGTGAATGGTGCTGCCTTGAAGTATGGACACTCAGCTCAAGGAGCCTATTTATATTTGGAAGCCTCTTTCTGCCCAAACTGGCCAAAGTAAGGCCAGATACTGCCTCCCACCCAATAGCCATTTGGTACTCCTGGGGTGTCTTCTCATGAAGTTTTACTGTAAAAGGAAATCATAGAAGTGACCTTAGATGTAGCAGGTGCAATCCTTCCACTCATGGAATAAAAGATGGTTCTGGAATACTGTCATTTCCTTTTACTTTTTTTTTCTTAAGAAGACATTGGGGTGGGGGGAGTTACCAACACAAGTGAAATACCTCAGTGCTTTATCAAAACCCGGAACAAACATTAAGGAGAAAAATATCTGAAGGTCGAGGAAGGGAAATAAACAAGAAGAGTAAGTAAAGCATGAATCATTCATTACCACCTGATGGTTCTTTAAAAATAAAAATAAAACGTGGCAGGAAATAGATTCCATGCCACAGTATGACATTTTTCTAGAAGACCTGGTACAGAATCTCTGCCCTTTTATTTCACAGAAGGAACTGACCTTTGGCTTCTAACTTAGATGGCCATTTCCTTAAGCCTTTACAAAGCACAGGGTTGGACAATGATGATCACCCAGTAGCAGTGCCCACTTCTTTACTGGACACTGGGAATAGAGAAAGGAGAAGTACATCTCATTTCCCAAAGACTTTAAGGTAGCTTACAACAATAAAATAATAATAAAATAGAAGCAGAGAGTTGGACCAGGGTGATATCAATAGAACTTTAAAAAACACAGTGTAAAAAAAACCCCTCAAATACCATATAGATTTCATTATATGGAGTTAAAAAGAGCAGAATTGAGACTCAAACCAGCTCAGACCAAAGGACTATCTCTTGAGAGAGGACAAGCTTCCCAGGTGGACCTCCCAGAAGTGTGATCTTGGACCATATATTTAACTTCTCTGAGCCTCAGTTTCCCCCTCTGGATACTGAGTCTAAGAGATATTGTCTATTTTATATAGCATGTTATAAGGATTCAATGAGATGATATCTGTGAACCATTGTCCGTGCTGTCTGGCAGAAAACACATGCTCATTAAATGATAGATATAAGAACCAATATGAAGACAGCCTTGTGTTATGCAATAAAAAACATTTGCCCATGATGGGGTCTCGTTTGATCTTCATACCAGCCAGGACTTGGGCTCAGGATCACAGAGAGAACAGAGAAGGGGGGTAGTTTTTAGGGAAAGCTTTCTGCAGAAGACTGGATTTTCTTTTTTTTTCTGAGATAATTCTTTAATTACAACTCATAGTGAAGAAAAAAGACTGGATCTTTTGAAGGCCATGTAGGATTTGCAGAGATAGAACTGAAGTACATATGAGGAATGAGATGACAATGTGCATATTAAGAAGACCCTCCCTACTAGAGCAGAGGGACATGTAGGAAATAAGAGCAGGGAGGAGAGGACTCTGGCCATATTGTGAAGGAATTTGGACCCCAATTGACAGGAAATGGGGAGTCATTGAAGGATTTGAACAGGTTGGTCAAGGGAAGGATGTGACATGTTGAAAGGGATGTTTTCAAAGGTGGAGTCTGTCTGCTGCTGTCTGCACTGTGCAGGCCAAGGTGGGGGTGGGTGTTGGGAGGAAGCAGACACTGCAGGCCAGCTGCAATGACCAAAGAAGAGACAGATGGTGAGAGCTCAAGCTAAGGAAATAGAATTGGAGAAGATGGGTGATTCCCAATTCTAGTTACGGGCACTTGAGAGAGAATGATTTGAAGCTAAAATACTTTCTTTCTAGACTCAAAATTCCATGAAAGCAGGGACTGTGCATGTCTTGTTCATCATTGTACCCTCCAAGATCTAGTGTAATACTTGACACATAGTATGTGCTCAGCAATATTGAATGAATGAATGTGTTCATGCACACTTTTATGCAGACAAACAATCAATAAAAGTAAGAATGGTTGCTTGCTCAATAATAAGGAAAACAAAATAGAGGATTACCTAAAAAGTTCCATTGGTTTAACTCTCTCTGAACCCACACTGACAATCTGGTGTAGGAAGTAGCCCAGTAGAGAGCCAGAGCAGGCTCATAAAGAAGAACATGAGTGCTCTGTAGGAAGCAAGCCAACCACATATCCCCCAGACAGTTCGCACAATATAGCAACATCAGAAAGCAGGTAAATTATGGATGAGAGGAGATTTTTTTAAATGGGGGTATTTACTTTACAAAACAATTAGCTGAGAATCCATATAAAGTAGCAAACTGCCTCACTATTACACTTAATTTAAGACCAATATATGACTTACTAAAGTTGTATTTCCATCCAAAATACTGTGTGTTAAGGATAAAAGCCCTGACTTGGGAGTCTAGAGACCTAACCCTTGGTCCAGGTAAGTTACAGAAATTGAATGGTTAATAGAACAGGCACTGGAGTCAGGCTGCCTGGGTTTACATCCTGCCAGCACCTTGGGCAAATGGCTTAGCTTTTCTGAGCTGCAACTTCCTCATCTGTAAAATGTGGTAATAAAACATTTGATTCCGTCTGATACAGTATTGTGAGGGTTAAGTGAGGTTATGCATGTAATATGTTCAGCAGTGCCTATGGGGTCTCAGTAAGTATTGACTTTTACTTTAAATCTTAACTATATGACCTTAGGCAAATCATTTCTCTTGGGCTTTCAGTTCCTCATGAACCTGAGGCTTCTTCCGTCCATGCCTTAGGGAAGTGATCCCTACCTGTACTACGAATTCATCATCAAACCTGCATCTCTACCCTCCAGAGACCCTAGTTGGTAACTTTTTCCTTATAAGGACCAATGAGACTTTGAGAAAAGTGAGAAAGCCCAAATAGAACACTAGGATAAAGGCATTTTACTTAATATACTTGCTAACATTCCAACTCACTCATACAACTCCCACCCTTAAATTCTAGCCCCTTTGGCCCCTTGCAAACTGCCCTACTTCTTTAACCATGTTCATCCCAGATCTTAAGGGATAGTAATCCCAAGAGTTCTTCTCTTCTTTGGATAGCATCCCCAGCCCACCCCATATTTGGAATTAGAACCCTAATTTTTTTAGGTTTCTCTTCTTTACCCTACTCCAACCCAGGGAACTGTGATTGCATCAACCTCTGCTGCCCTCTGCTGTCTGTCTCCAGATATGCTGGCCCCAGTTGGGCAAGTTAAGTCAGCCACCAAGCATCTTTAAATTTCTCCAGTCTCTAGGTGCTAGCCTGACCTCAAGAATACATCTTCTGCAAATACACATTCAACTTTAATCAGCATAAATGCACACATAGTCTTTCCTACTTACACACAATATATCCAAGCCATAGCTGGTGTGTCCCATGAGTTTGGAACTGTTGTCTTCAACAAAGAAGGTGAACTGCTAGAGTGAGTCATATTTTCTCATCTAAGCCTCCTTCTAAAAAATTCAGCAATCATTTATTGAGCACTTTCTGTGTGCAGGGCAATATGCTAAATATTGCACAGGTATTATCTTCTTGAATCCTGGAAACAACCTCAGAAGTAGATAAAATTATTATCCCCATTTTGCAGATGAAGGAACTGAGATTCAGAGAAGTAAATGTCTTGCATATGGTCACAGAGCCAGTGAGTGGCAGAGATGTGGCAATTGCTACAGACCCCCACTGGTTTGTCTGCATCTACTCTATTGCCTCCAAACTAGCCTCCTCATCATAGTCAGTGGTTGAGAACAGAAACTTTGCAGTTAGATCTGTATGGCTCTAGCAGCTCACCTTATTTACTGAAGAAAATAGCTCCAAACTCATAGTGTGTAGATTTGTGTTGATTAGGGGAGAGCACAGATATTGCAGAAAATAATCACAATTATCTTTAGATGTATTTAGGAAGTGGACTTGACAAAATACGGTTACTGAATGTGATGGCAGTAGAGAAGAAAGGGTCTGAAATGATTATCAACATTCTGTATTGGGCAACTGGGTGTAAAGTGATGATAATCATTAAAATAGAAACACTGAACATAATTGGATGAGGAACATGTTGGGATATGGAGGAAATGAAGAAATTCGTTTTGGACACTGTGAATGTGAGATAGCCAGGTAGAGATAGTTAGTGATCAATTGCTTTTATGAGTCTAGAGCTGAAGAAACAAGTCTGAACTGGCATCAACTTGTAAATCTTTCCAGGGATGGTGAAATACAAGAGAAAAGAACAAGGCTGACACCAGAGCATGAATATTTAAGGAGAAGGTAGAATCAAAGGAGTGTAGGTAGATGACTAAGATGAAGCAGACATGAATAGAGTAAAACCAGAAAAAAAATTGTCAAGGAAGTCAAAGAAAGAGAAC